ATTGCGTATTGCCAACCCTCCTTTGCCTCCCTCGGTCGTATCACGCGTATGGGATTTGCGCTTTCCAACTGCGCATCAGCCTTTTCTGCATGCCGCCTATTTGGATCGTCTTGTGTTGTTCCTGCAACATCCCACTTTTGATTGTCCGTCTAGCTTATGGCTTCAATGGGAATCCAAGCCGACTTGCGACACCAATGACGCTAATTCCCTCCCCTATGCTTTCTTTCTTTCTCTTCTCCATCGAATGTGGCTAACCACAGTGTCAAAAGATCCGAGACGGTGAACGGAAGCTAGGAAGTTTGAAAAGTTGCATAGGGATCGTCGTCTGGCCGTACCACTTTTCTGAGATATTCTTGGGAGTTGGCAGAATTGGCCGAATGGTTGTATCCGTTACTGCGTAGGTATCCATATGACGCCCCCACCCCTCCCAAGAAGTCCTTCCCCTCTCCCTGGTGACCCCAAATCCCTCCCCTTTCCCATCAATTTGTTCTGAACCCGCGGACGGGCGAGCCCCATGACAGACTGTGCCACTCAACGGTCTCGAACATGGATACGGGATATTACGTACGCGGCCTTGCTTCCGGGTACCTACATTTTTCTCCTGCGGCACTCCATTGGCGATGGCACCTCGCCAGGCTCGCACCTATTTTCCTTGCTGACTTCCGCTTCGCTCACCACACCCCTGGGCCCCGGTCCTTAGTCGTGGCTGTTAAGTGGGGTTCCTTTTCGAAGTTGCATAGATTTTCTGGGATGACAGGCATGGCAGCTGTTCCAGTTCCAGCCCGCTCCCGCTTCTTCAATTCAATCTTGGTGTTGCTGCGCTGCAGCAGCAGCAGCACATGCAGCGTCACCGTGCCGGGATATCGGATAGGTGAGACGGCAAAAAGCGATTCAGCCAACAACCACCACCTGGCTTAAGGCCTAGGTACACACACCTCGGCTACGAGTTACTCAGCTGAGCGCTATTTCCGAGCTGACTCTCTCGCTAGGTAGGCGCTGGAACGCTGGCTGGCACGAGCCCGGTGGTAAAAGTCTGGAAACTCTTGTTGCCGAATAGAAACGAATCGGGGAAAAAAAGACGCACACAGCACAGCTTGGTCCTCTATAAGGAACCTGCTGATGTTGCTGATGGAGGTGCATCGTGTAGGGTGATTGGATGCAGCCACCATCCCGCAATGGAAGGCCTGCAGCAAGTGCAGTGCAGCCAGCCTGCAGGGAAAAAAGTCACCTACCTATGTGTACCCGAAGAGATGGGATGCCAATTGTTTGGCGTGTGTTGTGTGCCTCGTCTCATTCGTCTCGCAAACACGGAACGAGATAAAATAAGGAAGCCAATGAAAAAGTTAGATAGGACGAGCGCGGAGTACCCCAGCGGCTAGGTTTTTTGGCTATTGCTGCGACATGACGCTCAATTAGGAGGTTAAATTGGAACGAGATTTGTGACCATCGGCGAACCACCTCTCACGCAGCACGAAGCATATCCTGCTGGTAGATGATAGAGTGCCGTGATGTGAGGTTAGATAGATGAGCAGTATAGATTACCTCAGGTAGTAGAGAAACCGTGGGTAGATGGTAGATAGAGGCATGCCGCATGATGGGAACTAGAGGAAGTCGGCGCCATCCATCAATCCCCTCCCGCTTCGGGTTCGCAGTTGACGTTTTGTGGGGTCTTTGCGAGGCGCAGTCGGCGGCGCCAAGGGGAAACTTCCGTTAGCCAAGAGGCTGGAGCCTGGCCATTGGATGATTACGGTGTTTCCCGTTTTCGCAGCTTGCTGCTTGCTGCTTCCTGAGTTTGCTTCTGGTCGTTCTTGCCGTCTTTCTGCTCCATACCTCGGTTTGCGGGATGCCCCCACTTGGCCACCCGTCCATCATCTTTTTGTTGCGTTTATTTCGGACTGTAACATGATGTCTGTCCTTCATCAATTAATCTTCCCGCGGGTATCCGTACGTTGAGTTCGTTATCAACGGTGGGTCATAGGACTTAGAGGATCAAAGCACGTTCGCATTTCGAACGGATGCTATCGCATTGTGGCTTTTCAAGTTCCGAACCCCCCCTTGGCTTGCCGTTGCCCAAGTTGCCCCTCCCTCCCCTGCGGCGCTGCCTTGACAGGCGCGCCATTTCCCTCGGGCCAATTTCGTCTGGTTCCGCCCCAACAGCTCGGCTCGCTAAATGAGCCACCACCTGGCACCACCTCGCACGGGGAAGGAAGGACCAGGGAGGGGCAAGCGACCAAGGTGGACGGGGTTGAATGGGACCGCGTACAGTAGCCGAGGGAAACAGTTCCCTTTGAGGTCTTGCGGCTTGCCAAGTTGCCATGTGCAATCAGAGGTCAAAGAAAAACCAAGAAAACCAAGAGACGAGGCAATGGGATTGGGCCAAAAGATTCAAACAGCCGCTCCAACCAAGACTGCGACACACACACACACACAAACCAGGCCAAGGCTCCCCCAAGACTAAGGTAGAGAGAGTCGAGACATGGTGGGAGGTCTAGCCAGAGCTTGAGCGGCATTTCCAGAAACATTCTATCGCATGTTCAAAACTTGGGTCAAGTTTTGACTCCAGACTCTCCTCTCACTCTCCCACCCACACATGCACTTGTCAGTCAAGACTCAACCATGGAGACGGATCTGCCGTATGAGGGGTTCTCGGTTCTACACTAGTCAAGACTCAAGAGTCAAGGCTCGATGGGAGAAAAGGGCATTCCCAGCACAATCGCCACACTCCTAGTCTCTCCCGTCTCTCTCAGAGCAGGTGCCGTCTTTGTGTCAATGTGTCCTTGGTGTCTCTTCGCGGGACGGTGGAATTGAGTTTCAAGGGTCCTGGGTCCTCGTCCCACTTGTTCTCCATTCTTTTCTGGCGCGCTTCCCACTCAAGACGCGTGTTCTCGGGGGTTCTTGACTCTTGCCAACTTGTTTTTCTTCGCTCTTTCCTTTCTTCCACTCTTTGCGAGGTGCGTGGTGCGAAATGCCAAAGTGTCTGTGTGCGGCTGCCAAGTCTTCGGAGGGGTGCACTTGCTTGGTCTTGGTCTTGGTCTTGCCTAGTCTTAGCCTGTTGGAAAGTGACTTGGGAAGGAGCTTAGGTGAATGAGGGAAAGGGCAACGCGAGGCCCCAGAAACCTGGAAGGTGCAGCAAGTCTGGAGAATGGAGAACTGGGCAATTGCGTTGCAACAGTTTAGCCTGCGGCGCACTTGCACCCGCGTACTGAAGTGCGTACTTCCTGCCAAGGTGGTCCCGCCCCTCCGTATCGAGTACGGTCCTTCCTTCCCTGCCAAGCTACCTATTCACCCACTCAAGAGCCCCCAAGGTTTGAATAGTGGAAGGTCCCAAGGAGCTCTTCTCTTTCCTCGGTTTTCCTCAGCCGTGTTCCGGTGACCGTCACGGTTCCCCATGTCGACCGTGATGGATGTGATGTTCAGGTAATACGCGCACTGCGCACCGCTCACCACCCGCGCACTTCGTACCGTCTTCGGGTCCAATGGTAGGGAGGCAAAGACAAGGAATGACCTTCCAGAATGGCAGAATCCACCGCCTTCTCCAACATTGGAAAAGTGCCTGATTTGAGAAGGACCCCAATATTCATCGTTTCAGCCTTTCAGGGTCCTGTCGAGGCTCCCACTGCCCAGCCCAGGCCCCCCCGCCGGCGCAAGGTCAACCGGTGTCAATCAGATAAGCTCCTTCTCCTTTTTTCTTCTTTAATTTTTTTCTCCTTCCATCCTCGCTCACCCCGGTACACGCCCATCTTGTTTGATTTTCGAGTCTCACTCTTCGTAAATCTCTTACAATTGCTTCAATCTAGAGTCATTCGTCTGTTATTCTCGTCTGCTATCTGCCGTGTGCTGAGGCAAAGGCAAAAGGCCAATGCATAGTCGCACCTTGCAGAGCCCAGCCCCCATTCTCCAGCAAGCCCGGTGGCCCCAAGCTCCCAAGAGGCGAGAAAGAGAAGAGCAGCAACGCAACAAGCTGCGCCCCCGGGGCTAGCGAAAGCGCCAACGGCCAATTTACTAGATTGGATCAGGGGGGGATTCGGGAAACAAGATTGGCAGATGGGGAGGGGTGTGGCCTGGCCGTGAATGAGCTGGGCGCGTCCATTTCCATTCTGTCAATCTTTTTTTCTTTGCAAACTTGCGCGTATGTATCCATACTATCATTCGTACGTATTCGTACCTGCGTACCTCTGCGTACCCATACGAATACTCGCTGTCATTCATTCTGCTCTGCATTTTCAGCGTCGAATCTCATACACACAGACATTTTTGTTTGTTTAGCTTTCTCCTTACCTGTTCATACCTCTTTCATTTTTACTCACTCACCACATGTCTGATTGCCATGTCCACACAGCTACGCCATCGCGCATACAGACACACAGAGTACCTTACCTACACCACTTTGTAGGCACAGCAATCCGATACCTTGGCTGCAACCACAACCACCGCAACCTGGCTGATGTTCGGTTCCTTTTTGTCTTGGCGGGACATCTAGGAGTGGGAAGCTAGTCGGGGAGATTGGAAAGACTACTTTCTTGCATCTCAATGATGAGAGAGAGAGTCTCTCCATCGGTTTCCCCCTCCGCCCCCCTGCACCATGTCATGTCTCCATGTCCACAGTTTCTCTCACCCTTGGCCCATGGTATGGCCCATGGCATGGCCCATGTCCCATCCTAATCCCAATCCCCCATATCCATCCCGTCCCCATCCAGCCACTTGCACCTCCCACAAGAACCCACGCGCACTGTTTCGACCTGCCTAAATCGAAGACAAGCTGTCCTTGACCGACGGTAGTCTCTCACACTCACACTATGAGTAGTAGCAACAGCAGCAGCAGCCCGCACACACTTGTGGCAGTGGGTTGACTCTTGGTGGTGAATTCAAGAAACCAAGTGGGTGTGGATGCAATGGGAAAAAAATGATCCACAAATCTTTTGAAGAACCACCTTACCTGGGCACCCTCGCCTCGCTCCACGCTCCACGCTCCACGCACTGCACGACCTGCTTGCTCCTCGTTACTCGTAGTCTCGTACGGGGATGAGCCACGGGGTATACGGAGTAGGTACCGTACCGTCCCTGGCATCTTTGCCGCCGCCGCTTGCTTCGTCTCGTCTGGTGTACTTTCTTGGTGGTGCTTTTGCTGGTGCTGGTTGTTGCTCTTTCTCTCTCTCTCTCTGTCCTGGATGGAGCTGGTTTGCGGCTTGCCTGTTGCGCTGCTCCTTTCCATCCACGTTTCTTCTCACGTTCTCGTCTCGTCTCGTCTCTCCTCCTCCCCCCAGTATCCGTATCCATCCATCCATCCAGTATTATCCCATTCACCTCACACCCCCGTCGCCCTGTTACGTTAGCCCGTTGTCCCGTCTGCCCGTTTCTTGTCTCTCCCGTCCCTCTCTCTCTTGACTCTTGCTCGTTTGTTCTGCCCTTTATCCAGAGCCTGCCCCCCCTCCATCTTCCTAATTCCCAGGTCATGTCCATGTCGTCTGTTCTCATCTGAAAATGGCACGAGTGTCGACTGCTTCGCCTTTGCCGTAAATTCTCTTTCTCGCCATCTCGAACCGAAAGCTGTCCGACAGGGTCCTGAAGCTTTCCTGTCACCGCGCATCTTGCCTGCCGCCAGCCAGCCCACCCCCCCAAGCAAGCCAAGGTCGATAATACGTAAATACCGCATCACCCACCTTCGACCAGCCAGTTCGTCCCCGGCGCATCACCATCACCTACCCAGGTTCACCACCGAACCGACTCTTCCCTTTTCTTCTTCCTACCCTCTTGCGACTGGACCTCAACTGCCTGTTGACCTTGTATGCAACTGTGTGGCGATAATCTGAGTTCGATTGGGGTTTTGTGTTCGTTGGGCCAAGTTCGACCGCACCTTCCCTTCCTGCCTTCCAGCAGTCACCCTCTCGAATTCACCACGTTGACGAAACCTCGTCACCACCACCCACCAAATAAGAAATCGTCGATCCTTCTTTTTTCGACGAATCCGAAATTTGGCTACACAGCGCAAATTTTTTAATCGAATAACGAAACGATCCATACAATTACGAAAATGGATCGTGATAGCAGAATCATCACCCCCCGCGAGGTGGAGGGCATGATTGCAGATGGACGCACAATTGTCATTCTTGACGAAATGGTTCTTCGCCTCGACGGGTGGATGGGCAAGCATCCTGGTGGCCAGTTGGCTATCCTGCACATGGTTGGAAGAGATGCGACCGACGAGATCAAAGTGTAAGAGGCTCGACTTACCTTCCATGTCCAATTAACCTTTGGGTGCATCACATCTGCCCCCCTCCCACCATCTTCAGCTTGAGGCTGAGAACCCCCTCCGAATCTGGACCCTTATGCGGCGTGCCCCCATCATTCCCGCGGGTTCGGATAAATAATCTGAAAAGGGGTGGGACGTCGGGAAAAAAGAAGCATCCGGGAATGCGAAAGCGACCGAGATATAATCAGCAGTCTGGTTAAGCTTATTTTCCCACATGGTCCAAATGGTGGGAGAAGGGGGAAAGGGCCAATTAATATTTCGGATTCGCTGGACATTCGGACTCCGTTGTTGATGCGTTAAGTGGAATTAGTGTGCTGACATATCGCTTTTGACAGGTACCATTCGGCTGCCACACTCAACACCATGAAGGCCTTTCGGATCGGCCGGAAACCTGCGGGTCCCTGGATCAACATGACACCACCAATTAGGGGCGGCGTCTACACCAAGCAAGAGACCACAACACCCGCATCTGCACCCAACGCTGCCGGTGCTACTGCAGATGATGCCACGGACGCTGCCGTCGACTGCCCCTCGTCCGATCTCGATGAAGATGACTCCGCCGACGATGCCGTCTCCGATGTATCTGGCGGGAGCTCCCGCACGTCCCTGACTTCCGAATGCAGCAGTGCAGAGGTCGAGACCAAGCCCGAGCCCCAGACTGAGACGGGCATTAGACGTCGTCTTGCTGCACCTGCAGACCCAACCGACGATGCCCTCGCCGCCGGCCCCGGTCTGTCGGGCCGGAGCCGCATGACCGCCGACCAGTACACCGAGTGGTCCATCCAACAGAACATCAACAAGGATCTCGACGAGTACCCTTCTCTCGACCCTGCCGTTCAGCGCGATATCCAGGAAAAGTACCGCCTGCTCCATGAGCGTATTAAGAATGCTGGTCTTTACGACTGCCCCTACTTGGACTATGGCAAGGAGATGTGCAGATACTCGACTCTGTTCGCCCTCTTCCTCACTGCTCTGCACTATGAGTGGTACATGACCTCGGCCTGCTTCTTGGGTCTCTTCTGGCATCAGATCATGTTCTCTGCCCACGACGCTGGACACGGAGCCATCACCCACAACTTTACCTTTGACACCCTCATTGGTCTCTTTGTTGCCGACTTCTGCTGCGGCCTTTCTATGGGATGGTGGAAGAGCAGTCACAATGTCCACCATCTCATTACCAACCAGCCTGTAAGTCTTCCATATTATCCATCACGTCTCGATCTACGTAACTAACACGCCTCAGGAGCACGATCCCGATATCCAGAACGTCCCTCTCTTCGCTACCTGCCCTTCTTTCTTCAAGTCCATCAAGTCGACTTACTACGACGGCTTCGTCTTCGTCTGGGATGCCGCTGCCGACGTTCTCGCCAAGTACCAGGCGTACACCTACTACCCCGTCATGGGCATCGCTCGCTTCAACCTCTACCTTCTCTCCTGGCTTCACGTCCTGTCCCGCAGATCATCCTCCCTGGGTGCCTCCAAGGCCTGGTGGATTCGCCCGACTGAGATTGCCTTCATGGCCTGCTTCTGGTACATCTTTGGCTGGCGTCTGATTCTCAACACTCTTCCAACCTGGCCCATCCGCATCGCCTTCGTTTTGGTCTCTCACATTATCACTATGCCTCTGCATGTTCAGATTACTCTGTCTCACTGGGGCATGTCCACCTCGGACCTTGGCGAGTCCGAGTCCTTTGCGCAGCGCCAGCTTCGCACCACCATGGACGTCGACTGCCCCGCCTGGTTGGATTTCATCCACGGCGGTCTCCAGTTCCAGGCCGTGCACCACCTCTTCCCGCGCGTCCCGCGGCACAATCTCCGCAAGGCGCAGGTCTTTGTCAAGGAGTTCTGCAAGGATACCGGCATCCCATATTCCATCTTGGGTTTCGTTGACGGCAACAAAAAGGTCATTGGAAGACTCGAGGAGGTCAGCGATCAGCTACGTACACTTCTCAACTGCCAAAAGTTCATGGCGGAGACGGGCGAGAGCGCCCTGCATTAGACACAGCATCAATGCATTGTTTCGGCGTTGGAGGGTTATTTTCATAGACTAGATAAAAGCTGTCTGCTGTCTTAATGTTCAACTGTTCATATATTCATTCTACAACATGACCTTACAAGTATTGTCAACTGTAGTGAAATTTTCATGGGTGACATCATGTTGACCACCGTACGATACGGTACGGTGCAGCAGTAACAACCTGCCAGACTATTTCCAGAACTGAAGAAACGGAACCACGTGGTGATCGAGATGACATTAACATCACCCAGATCGCTGGCTCTGGGGAACCTGCACACGCCAGAGAGTCTAAACTATTCTCCGTATGGAGTCCACTGATGTGATCACTCCCGGACTGACGACGTTGAGACGAAATTAAAGAATGGATTGTGGCCTGACCACCCTCCTAAGACCGGGTACGGACCGTACGGATGTAATATGCAAGGGGGAACACGGAAGCATATCCTGGCCTGGGCTTGGCTGGGGCTCAAGAGGAGGTGGAGGAAAGGGGGAGATGGGTAAATGGGAGATCGAAGATCGAGATATTCGGACTTTGGAGAGGAGATTGTTGAGTCCGAAGCTAAGGTAAGGTTGTGTTTTCTGGTGGATCCGCCGGGGTAGCGCTGAGTAAGTGGTGCGGACTGCCGGTGCCGATTCCGGGAGGGCCGGGCTTCTGGTTGGGGAGATGGGCATATGTAATGCCTTGTTTACCCTTCTGTCTGGCTCTTTTCCTGTGTTTATTTGGGGATCCTACCTGAGATGCCCCATTCCTGGGTGTCCTGGGTTGAATTCATGGTCCCGGCTCTGGAGGGTTGACGGGACGCTTCGTCAAGTACCTACACCAACGCCCACTCCGCCAACTCGCCCTCGTCATCAGGCCACGCTTCTCCGTCCATGACCCCGTCGACGACCGCATACCCGACGACTATGTACCCCCCGCTCCCCCTCGACCGAACGACGAACGGGACATCTAGCCCCGAAAAGACGCAGATCTCATCTCCCGGCTGCGGTTCCGAAACGCAGAACCCGAAGTAGTTGTGAGTGGTGAGGAACATACAGCCCGAGCCCACGGCCACGGTGATGTTGCCTATCTTCAACCAGGCGGGCGGTGTCTGTGACGCTACTCCTTCTGCGAGTGCTGAAGGTGTGGAGACTGCGGTCAAGGAGGCGGCGTCGGGTTGCGTTCGTGGGTTTGCGCGGAGGATGCGCACGAGGAGGGCTTGGATGCTGCGAAAGGTTCGAAGTGCGTTTTCTTGAGTTTCTTTGCTTGCGTCGGTGGGCGGCGGTGACAAGATGTCTGCGAGGAAGGCCTGGGAGACACGTCTGGCGTCACCTACCCAGGCGATGAACTCTTCCTTCTTGTCTGCTAGGACAAAGGATAGGTCGAATAATGGGAGTTTGGGGCTGATCCTGTCGCCTACGCGCCCGACGCATCTGCCTTTGAGGTAGAGCGTGTGTGCGTCGGGTGAGAATCTGTAGGAGGGTTTGCTGCTGCGGGAGGAGGATGAGGGGACGTCGAGGAGGATTCTGCCGTCTGTGGTTTGTTTGTTCCAGTTTAGGGCCCAGGAGGGGAGGTCTGGGACGGGGGTGACATGAGTGCTTGTTGCTGAAGTTGATGTTGATGGTGACGGTGGTGTCGATGTGTCTCCTCCATCGAGGAGGAGGAGATGGGTGAGACTGTCCTGTCCCAGGATATGCTGCCTCGTCGCCTCACGGTAAACCTTTCCTACGGGATCCGTGTAGTGGACCGCTACTTTTCCGAAGGTCTCTGGGAATATAGATCGTAGGGCGTAAATTTTGTGACGGGGTTCCGTCGACTGTAAGTACAGCAGCATTCTGAGCTGGTAGACATCCAACTTCCCGCGGCGCGCAGCAATCTTCGCCGCTTCTCGCTGCTCGTCGGCATCTGCGGCATTCACAGCAACATTCGCAGAAGTAACGGTCGTAGTAGAAACGTCCGTGATGATTATCCGACGCATGTTGATGGCGAGCTGGTTCGGGTCCGGGTGACTTTTATGGGCGTCGCCCCAGTTCTGGAGGATGGTGGAGAGGGCTTCGCCCCCGCCGTCGAGGCAGAGGATGAAGGCATTGCTGTAAGTTGCTTCCTGGAGGGTCCAGACGCGCAGCCAGTAGGGTGCGCGTTGGATTTTGGAGAGGAGGATTGGGTCTAGGTCTGTGATGGGGGCGTCAGTGAGAGGACGGGAGGTATTTTTCTGCAAAAGCGGTGTAAGTTGAGACGTAGGGTTGGATCTCCCGCGCTTCAGATTTACGTTCTGCGGCGGCGCTCACCTCGCTTCTGATCGTCCTTCACCCTCGGAACACCCTTGTACAAGGCAAGCACCGAAGCAGGAGCCCACTCGTTGCCAAGCCAGACAAACACGTACTTTGCCTTTTTGTAGAGTTCCGCCATCATCCCGACCTGGACGCTCTTCTCGTCGTTGGAGGACTGGTTGATGCAGACGGCGTCGACCCATAGTGAGAGGTCGCGAATGCGTGGGCCGCGGAGGATGTTGAGGACGGCGGCGCAGTTTGGGGTTATCATTAGCGGGGGTTGTTGGATTTGCTGGGCGCCATTGGAAGTTGCTGTTGCGATGGTGGTAGTTTTTACTACTCTCAGGGGGACGTTTGAGGGTTCGCCTCCCCAGGTGTAGGAGAGGGCTGCGTAGGAGACTGGGTTGTCGAGGGAGGTTTCTTCAAACGAGCATTCGAGGGGGGAGGATTCATCTGCGGTGTTGACGAGGCGGATGAGGCGGATTGATTTTGGAGCGGAGAAGGGTGTGTATTGATACCGAGCGGCCATTGTTGAGTTTCGCTGTTGAGTAGAGATAGTCTGGTGGTCGTGGTGACATGGAGTTTCGCGATCACGGTGGTAAGAGTCCAGAAGCTAAGGCCTAACTCTCTCGGTGTCGATGATAGCGGCCATAAAGGTTGCTTTCCGGAGAGATTCGCTCAGACCAGAAATTAAAAGCATATAAGCCGCGACTGGCAAATGAGATGATGTGTTGTGATTGTGTTTTTCATCAAGACCATAAGTCTCGATGTTTAGACCCAATGGAGAGGTTATCAGGAGGCTATCACGTGGGATCTACCAAGCGGCGGAGATTCAGCCGCACTTTTCAGCTGCGACTTGATGATTGCCAATCTAGGCTAAGTGCCCTGAATTATGATTCCTTGGGTAACATTGCCGAACCATCGCTGCGATGGACATTGTCAACTTCACTCAGCTTGGTTATCCTTGTGAAAAGTACTGCATGCAGAAGGAGATTCGGATACTTTGTGGATTCTGAGTGCATTTGCGAGCATTCGTCCCCATGAATATAGCAACAAGTTGGCAACATCAACTTTCTTGCGGAAGTCTCGATGACGACAGGAAAAGCAAAGTTCGCAAGTAAAATCTCGGATCTCTTGGAAATCGATGGCTTGGAGAAGCCTAGTTGCTCCTTCAAAAGTGCAAGTGACTAGAAACTTCCGGGCGAGACAGGAAAAAGACGTAAAGGACACGGGCGTCTAGAAATCATCAATGGGACATGGAGTACTCAGTCTGAATGCGCAAGAATCCGCTTCTCTTGCAATCGTTTTAGTCACTTTAGCAGAAGTATATCGATGCAGGGGAGGAAACACTGAAGTTTGTGTCCTCGACACCAAGAGTGGAATGTAAACATCTTATTAGTATCCCTATTATAGGGTAGTTAGTTCGAACCGTAAATTAACAAAGAGATTAATTAAACTATATAAATTTCTATATTAATATAAAAAAGAAGTTCTAACTATAAGTTAAGTTAGTTATAATAATTATAAATAGGGCCCCTAATTAGCTCCTATGTAATTAGCTATATACTATAGTTAAATTAAATTTTTAATTTAATATTAACTTTTTCTTTTTTTTATTAATTTACTTATTATAATTAGAAATATAATTTAACCTTAGGCCTGTTTATTAAATCGTCTCCCTTTTCCCTTTTTTTTACTTTTTTTATATAATTTATTTTTTTATTTATATATTAACTTTTTTATTATTTATAAATTACTTTAACCTTTTATTAAGTATTATTTTTATAAAAACGTTAATAAGGTTATTATTATTATTAATTTAATAAATCTTAAACATCTTATACTTTTTATATAATTACCTAAGGGTTATAATATTAATTATAAGCCTCTTTTTTTTTATTATTTTTAATTTAATAAAGTATTTATATAGTAAATAAGAATTAGTATAAATAACTATAAAGATTAATAAAAAGTTAAGTTAATTAATAATTGTTTTTAATATTATTAAAATTATATAAGTAAGGTTAATATTATTAATTATATTATAAATTTTTAATATTAGTATACTTCTTATTACTTATTTATTTTTAGTTAATAAATAGTAAATTATATTACTATATATAGTAAATTTACTCTTATTTATACCCTTATTAATTAAAATAATAATATATTTTAATTACGAAGTAAGGTCGTCGTTATTTATAAATAACTTATTAATAAAAACGTAAAGCTTATTAATAATAAAGTTAATTAGGTAATAAATAAGGCCTCGATTAAAATTTATTTATTACTATTTAAGCTACTTATTAAGTATTTTAATATTTCGTTTATTTAAATCTATAGCTTATATTATTTTCATATAATTAAAAATTATTTTAAATTAATATATATTTATAATATATACCCCTCGCGCGAGCTTAATTTTATATTACTTTTTAATATTAATTATATTTAAGTTAATAAAAGTAATTTTTTTACCCTATCCCTTTTATTAAAAAATAATAGTTTCCTTTTTAATTATAAAAATCTTATTATTAAACGCTAATAAGTTATTTATTATAAGGACCTTTTTTAGCTTAGTTACGAAGCCTACTTTTTAAAGCTCTTTATCCTCCTTTTTTATAAAATTAATATTAAATAGGCTTAATATATTATCGGTTTATATTTTAATAATTTTAAATTATTCGTTTTTATATTTAGAAATTAATAAGTACGGGTCGTACGTAAATATAATTATTAATAATTAATTAATATAAAAATCGTAATATATAGCTTATTAATAAGTACCCGATTTTACGAGCCTATATAATAGTTTAAGTACTTTAATAATTATACTTTTTAAGTATTTATTAATTATTTTTTTTAATAAATAGGCTAGGATTTTTTTTATAAGCCCTATAGCTAATTAAATATAAGCCTAAGTAATATTATAGTTCTAAATCTCGTATCCCTTTTTTTATAATAATATTATTAATATTATTATTAATCGTTAACTATAGCGCTATATTATAAATAATTAAGTAAATAGCGTTACTTTTTTAATATTACTATACCCCTAAATTATATACTTAGATTTCTTATATAATTAGGGTGTTTTTTTTTTTTAATTTTATATACTATTTATAATTTAAATATATAGAGACCTTTATATTTCTCGGGGTTATAGAAAATAAATTAATAAACCCCTTAATTACGTAAAATATTTATTTCGATAAGATCTAATCTCTTCTATAGCTTTTTAATAGTTATAATAATACCTTTTTTACGTAGTTTAACTACTAGCTCGAAATCGGCTTTTTCTTTTACTATATAAAAAGTATTAAATACTCTATTATTAATAATAAATTATTATATTAGAGCTTATTATCGTAGTTTTTTACGACATTTTATTAGTAATATTAATACTTTTTTAATAATTTCCTCTTTTTTATTATTTATTAATACTACTATAATAATTTTATTAAAGATAATTTTTTATACTTTTATTATAGGTTATATTATTTCCCTTAGCTCTTTTTTTTTTTATAAATTAGAAATTACCTTAATAAGATCCGTATAATATAGTCTAACTATAATAATTAATATTTTAAATAATTAATTACGATTTTTTATAACTACGTAAGAGCGCTTATTAATAGAAATTAATTTATATAGCCTAGCTTATTACTAAGTAATTTTATACTATATTTATATATTTAAATTTAGGGGTATATTTAAATTAGCCCTTATATCGGGTCTATTATATATAATAATTACTTTATTAACTTACTTTTTTATACTTACTTTATATAGTACTTATATTATTTTTTTAATTACTTAGGCTCGTTAGCTTATATTTAGTAATAATAATAAGGCTAAAGTTACTTTTAAGTATATTCTAAATATTAATAATATTAATATAAGCTTATTAAGCCCTATAATATTATTATAATACTTAAGTACTATTTAAAAGTATTCGTTATTAATAAAATTAAGATTTTCTTTTTTAATAATTCTAAACGCCCTTTTTAATTATTAATATACCCTTTTTATTTTTCTAATACTATAATACGCTTTTATAAATATAATTTTTAGTTATATACTATAAGCTATTATATTTTCCCTAAATTTTATTAATTTAAAACTCGTACTAGCGTCGGTTTTAATACTATTTAGCGGTCTTTAATATATATTAATTTAGCTTTTTTATAAGGTTACTTATACTATTTTTACTTATAAATCCTATAAGAATTACCCTATTTAAAATAATATAGCCTCGTTAATTATATATAGGACTAGTTAACTATTTAAATAAAAAATATTAATAACGATTTTTTAATTAAAATTAAGCTTATTACGTAATTTAAATTTAAATTTACATAAGCTCTACGTATTTATTTAGTATTAGTAATATATATTTATTAACTACTTTAACGCTTTTATTTTAATATTATTATTATTTAATTATTTTAAGAGGTTATATAGCCTCGTAATCGATAAGTACCCAAATCTCTAGTATAGTTATTTAAGTTTATTTTCCGTTAAGTAATTAATTAACTTTATATTATTAATAAGCTTTATAAACGTATACCCCTATTATTATTTAACTATTTTAAAATATTTATTATTAAAAATTCTATTTTTCGTATTATTAAATATAATACTTAGTTAATTTATATTTTTTAAATATAAAAGAAATAGGGTATTAATAAGTAAAATATAAAAAGTTATTGTTCTAAAGTACGTATTTATTTTTATTATACTTAGGGTAACTATTTTCTTACCCAAGCCGAAGCTAATTTTTGTAATACCTATTATTAACGTATTAAGTATTATTAATACGATTTTTTATAGTACTTAGAATTATCCTTTTCTTTTTATTAACTATTATAATACCTTAATATTTAAAATAATTTTATAAAAATTATTTAAGCCGTACTTTTTATTTATATAAAATACTTATGTGGTGGTTTTTTTTCCGGCTTTACAGGCACAAAAGATCGACCTTAACGGGATCACGCTTTCAAGGGAAATCACACGATACAGTACACTTTTTAACTACACAATACGCGCAATGTATCCCAAGCACGCGCTCAACGCAATATAGTGATTTCGATACGAAAACCGCCATTCAATTCGGGATGGGCAAGCTGCCCT